CATGGGAGAGAAATTCGTCGTTTCAACGTGCGTATGGTGGTCGAGGTGTCGAAAAGGGGTCGTATCAAGTCCACTTTGGGGGAGGGGGTCGTAAAAATTGTAACAACGGCTGGACCGACCCTGCCCAGGATCCAAAAGCGCTAATCCATCGCGGGTCCAAGTTTGAGTATTTGAGAGAGCAGACCTCTCCAAAAGTTTGAAGTTGCCATGCATGGCTTTGTGTGAACGTCGGCCTGATGTTGCTGTGAGTTTCTTCCAGGGTCAACCGTGCGTTGGACAAAAACGAGGGGTGGGGAGGTTCGTATTATGGGGTGGAAAGAGGGGTCATATTCGCGAGGTAGCATAATGTTACAGTAAGGAAGTATGATGGACGTAAGCAAACCAGCCCTTTTGGCGCTTCGGCTGGGACCGTATGCTGAATGTTGGGGAGGGGATGGAGTCCCCGACGGTGGACGGACCACTTCAACTCGGTCCTTAGAACCGCCACAATTTGGTGCTTACCTCAGAACTAAGCCTTTAAAGAGAGGACGGGTCCGTCCCCTCTCCAAGGCTTAGTCCTGGGGTGAGCAAACCAGCCCTTCTGGCGGAGCTGCTGGACCAGCTGCACCACTTGCGTCAGTACTCTCCTATCGTACCAACCGAGTTGAAGTAAACCGTCGACCGTTGGGGACCCCATCCCCTCCCCAACATTCAGCATACGGTCCCAGCCGAAACGCCAAAAGGGCTGGTTTGCTTACCTCGTGATGATGCAGTTGATTGGCGCGCTAAAATTTTGCCGTTTCACGGTGTGTTCCCCCCTAGGAAATGTTGCAGTGGAAATGTTGGTGAAATAGGGGGGAAGTGAGGGAATGTTTGCGGTTTCGTGGTAGGTATATACCCCCGCTCGACGGTAATTTTGGAGGAAAAAAGTGGGCGGAGTTTGGGCTGTGTCGACTGGTCTCAGAATCGAATACTATAGAATGAGCCCCATGATGGCGATGGCAGGCGAGGGTGGTGAAGGGTTGACCCTGAGGGGGGGGTCGTATCGAGGCCCTCTAGAAGGGGGAGGGGGTCGTAAAATTTTCGAAATCGGTCCAACGTGACGGTTGACCCTGGTTTCTTCTACTGAACTCCACACGAGGTTGTCCAATAATGTTTATAGGCCGACGTACCGGCCACCTCCTCCAAAGGCAGAATCACCTCCTCCAAAGAAGAGCTCAGTTCGACCCTCTAAACGCAAAGAGGACAGCAGTACACTCCGCCAGGCGCACTTATGTAGCTCCTATCACTACATGCTTTAACTATGCGTTACCAGGCATGGAAGATTCCACCAAATCACTCTTGCCGCCTTATCACATGGTAGCGCGAAAGCTTCATGATAGCCCGATAAGGCGAGTCGCAATCGCTACGGCGCACGGCTTGATTGCGCTGGGGAAGCAGCCGTGACCCGTGGGCTGATCGAGACCGTTTCACTTTCACGCGTTCCACTACATCACCTTGAGAGATATGACCGCCATAAAATGCTGCCGAAGGTCAGGTGAATGGAACAGCTGATCAATCCCCAAACGAGGAACGGTTCATTTAATGGGAATTCTCAGGAGCTCACAGGTTCAGCAGCTGCATTAGACATACAGTAGTCTCGTTTTGTGAAGAAGAGCCCAAACGGGCCGGGCCTGATGGTTTGGAAGGATCTCCTGGTTTCCTAGCATTCCTTGGAGGCGAACTTAGTAGCTGGACCTAGAAGAAGCGCTAAATCTACGAAGGCAACCTAACGAACCTGGGCCTAAAGGAACCTTAAGAAGTGGTCAAGAGGAGCGGCCAGTGAGTGTGAGTCTCAACTAGCAAGTGATGTCGCTGATGGCAAGGCCGATCAAGGGGTGGACCAGACTGAACTTCCTCGTGCTTGCATGTTGCGCAACGTTCATTCATCGAACTTCGTAGCATATCTTGCGAGCGGTCTGGGAAATACTGGCTGGCTTTGAAGATCGCGTGGATCCGATAGGTGTCCACCTGTGAATGACCTCCTGCGCAAGTTGGCATAGCAAGTTATTCCCACCTTCGACGGCCAAGCTATATAAAGAAGCAGTCTAGACGATGGCAAGCAGTTTAGCTCAGCTCGAGCCAGTTCAGTCATGGCACGTGTCATCGTCGGTATCACCTC